CAGACGGCTGATTTTAAGATCGTTCGAAATTCAAGAGCCGTTCGAAATTCATGGCACTTTACCGTATATAACCATTATTTATTATTGCATCAAAATTGACAAAATGACCTTTTTTGCATCTTTATTTTCTGTTTTTTGTCTGTACATTTGACAGCTTTGCTGCCTTGTTGATAATTGAAGATATTTTTAGAAAGAGGAAAAATTTGATTTTGTTTCTCTGCATAATACAGACAGTGACTTTAACATTGATTACATACAACCAGAAGAGCGACATCTGGGCATTGGGATGCGTTCTGTATGAACTTGCCAGTCTGAAGAGAGCATTTGAAGCACAGGTTGGGCACATTGAAAAAACTTTAATTATGAAAGTGATTTCATTAATTGTAACAATTCATTGAGCACAAAAATGTTTGACATTAACAGACTTAATGACAACAGTAATATACTGGTAGTATACAATACTATGCATGGTAGATAAGATCCCTTCTAAATGTTCTTATCCATAATTTTTAGTTTAAAATTTGTGAGAACTAAACTTGATGACTGTTTAGGTTGAAGTTAATCAATTGTGTACCCTTTTTGCATCATTGCAGTCACAATTTCATTGATGCCAAAGTGCTATATTTTACAATGACAAAAAAAGATTTTTTGTTGAAGTCATGAATTTAGGTTCTCATGTTGTTTATATAAATTAATGTATTATTGTTATTATTTTCTATTTATTACAGAACCTGCCAGCATTAATACTTAAAATAATGAGAGGAACATTTTCTCCCATATCCGATAAATACAGCAAAGAACTTCAGTCCCTGATCCTTAGTATGCTCCATTTGGATCCTAACAAAAGACCGCATATCAACCAAATAATGGCACAGCCTATTCTCATCAATTCACTGATGAATCTGTATACTGACATTGGAATGCTACCATGCACTAGGTATTAATATTTGCCCAAAGAACTTCCTTTTAGTCTGGTACATGACATGGGTTTAACCAAATGTATGGGTGTTTGTGTACTTTTATCAAAGTCGTATCACTTTGTGAAAGTTTTTATTTCAACTTAATTACAGTTTGGAGATTTTATGAAAGGATTTTTTTGAGTGAAGAAATGTAACCAAATTATGATGTCTTCCAAAATGTTATAGTAGCCAGACAGATGGCAAAACCTTATCACCACGATGACATTTTTTAGGGTCCAAAGTCCCCTGTCCAGTCTCCCAGGTCAGGCTAGGGGAGCTACAGGAGGAGGAGGAGGTGGCGGGAAACTCTCACCAAGACCTGGCAGTGCTACTAGAGGTAATGTGCTACTTGAACTTGATGTATTCTGTTTGCCTTATAGTCTAGGTGAACTTTCATAAAATACAATTAACTTTTTAGATAATATTGTTGTTGACAATAGTTCAGACTCTTAATGCCGTACTAAAAATGATATGAACATGTCAAGTTCATTTACTGTACATGGTTATTCAGTAAACTTACTTCACTGAGATGCTTGTAAAACCACTGATGGTTACACAAGTGAATGTTGTCGGAATCAATCTCTGTCAGATGTTTTCAACAACTTATGAAAACTCTTGTTGCTCAAGAAAATTATACTGTAGTTCAGTCCATAAAATTTTCATCCTAAGTAAAAAACAATTGTTTACTAGCAAAATAAATTTGCCTTGATATAATTTTTTCTCTTTCAGAATCCCTGGCCAGTCTTGTAATGGACTCCAGTGGGGGTCTTCCCAAGCCCCCAGTCCTTTGTTCAGTGTATTACTGGGGGAGTGGAATATCTTCTCCTATGTTACTCCCCCTGCCAAGCAGTGACACACAAGTGGAAGAAGTTTCTATTGGGAGAACACAAAAAGCTGCCGTAACCAAAAATGGGAGGCTGTTTGTGTGGGAGGTAAGGGAAAAGGCAATGTGCATCTAGGCATGCCAGAAGTTGGAATTATGGCTGACATGGAATTATAAGAAACATTGTCATTTGTATTCAATAGTTTTCTGAGATTTTTATTTGCCCTGTGCATGCACTTTGCAATTTGCATAGGTCATTTTTTTAAACTGATTGTGCACTATTGCCACATTTATGTCCACTGAAGGCTCTTTTCTCCCTCTGCAGGCTCCCACAGTAGGCACGGACAGCATGCTACCAGGTGCCACAGAGGGCCAGGTGCCAGCATTTGTCCCCAGGTACCTGGAGGGACAGTCAGCTGTCACAATACAGCATGTTGCATGTGGGGACCTCTTTACAGCTTGTCTCACTGGTGAGTTGTCCAGTCTGTGTCAATATAAAAAACGACTGCTAACATTTCAGTTTTCCGAATGACTTAGTGTCTTGTTTGATTCAGTATTATTTACAACAGTATCTCATATCAAATATAGATAGAAGAGCACATGAATTATACATAAATGTGTAGAGCTGGCTAACTTGAATAAAATTCTGTGAAATTTTAATTCCTGACTTTCAACTGGAAGAAATAATATAAAAATTCTGTATTATTAAATGCTGCCAATGATTAAAATCTACCAATTTCAAATAATTTATATCAGGAATATTGCAGCTCTTTAGGGTATAATATGAATATCCTTGTTGAGATTTTGCACTATTCTTGTCCATTTCAGATCGAGGCATTTTGATGACATTTGGAAGTGGGGCCAATGGCTGCTTGGGCCATGGCAATTTCAATGATGTATCACAGGTAAAACATGAATTTTTTTTTTTATTCCAGAAAAATTTGTTTTTACTGAATGCCATTGATCAGAATTTACTTGTTGCTGTCCATGAAATTAGTAGTTTTGTGACAATTAAAGTGACAATAATTAAATTTAATGAAGGTGGACATTGCTTTTTCAATAAGATCTTCAATTTTACATTGTTCAAATTGTCTGTTTGTATACTATTGTGTTCATAATGACTTGAGCAATGTGGTTGGTAGTCAAAATTGCATTGTGTGTATGTTGTCACACACGTGGTCAGCACATTTGAATTTCTTTTAATTCTAACAGGCTAAAATTGTGGAGGCACTGCTGGGTTATGAGGTGGTCCAGGTATCCTGTGGGGCCTGCCACGTGTTAGCAGTGACTAATGACCACGAGGTGTTTGCCTGGGGAAGAGGAGACAATGGTGAGCAGGAATATCATGAATTAAAATTTTCTTCCTACGAGATTTTTTCTTGGTTTTTGTTAAAGAGAATTTAGAACAATTTTGAATTTCTATGCCATACTCAGAAACTGGTAAAATTCAGAGGATGGTTTCCTCTTGTTAATTATTCTTTGTTTCCATCACTGAATGTTAGAATGTTGTATTTTCAACATGAAACAAATGCTTTAAGTTTTATAATGTTGGAGTTAACCTTGATAGGTGTTTATCGAAATCAGATGTGATGTTAGGAAGTGAATATTTAGAATCATGAAACACATTTAATATTTTTCAGTTATAAACAAGCACATGCATGCACACAAGCTGTTTTAATGGCACACATTTTTCAATTCTAAAACTTCTTTTTGTTGAAATGTGCAGAAATTGTGAACTTTCAACATGAAAAAAATTATGAATGTATAAATTTTTGCAAATGTCTACAACTCTTCTTTGTACAAGGTCGCCTTGGACTGGGTACACAAGAATCTCATTCCTTGCCACAGCAAGTTGGCTTTGAAGAGACTGAGCAGCCCTGCTCTGTACAATGTGGGGTGGATTGTTCCATGCTGCTGACAGTGGAAAACAAGTTGTTGTGCTGTGGTAATAACAGGTATTAAAGCAGCAGCCTGATCAGGGAAAAGTTCTTAAATAAAAAAAACAATCATTTTGCATAGCAAAAACAGAGACTGGCACAAGGAAAGAAAATTAGAGCATGGACTCAAGATTATGCCATGATGCAACTATGTCCTCATCTTTTTATTAAAATCAATAGCAGCATTATGTATATAATTGCCACTTTCAGTGAAGCAAGTACTTAGAACCACTTCTGATTTTTCTCATCATCGCCACATAATATTATGTAATTCATCATGTATTCTGTTGAGATTTACGAATACAGTATTATATGACATTCGTACAAATGAGCAAAATAAGTATGTCTGGAACTTATTTCAGATATAACAAGCTAGCCTTGGACACTGCTGGCAGTGGAGGGTCACTGAGACACATAGAAGAAGTCCACACATTTACTCCAGTGTCCACACCACCTCTGGTCAATACCCCTATCAAACATGTGGCCATGGGGACCTCACATACTATTGTCATTACAGGTAAAGAATAGAAGTCTTGCTAGATTTAGTTTGATACTGTCTGGTGTTATGTAAAAGTTTTGATAGTATTCTTTGTGTGCTTATAATGCAGCATTTGTGTAAAACAGATTTCTGGAAGTCGGTGTAACTTAATAATTTTCTTTCTTTATTGTACCACCAGCGTTAGCGCTGGCGGTACACATGGTTTCGGTCCCGTCCGGATCGTTCCGCCGGCTCCGTTGGCTCCGCCGGCTCCGCCGGACGGCTACCGTTACCGCTTCTCCTCCTAGGCGGTAAGGCCCCCCGTACCCATCTCTTGGATTTAGGTCACCTATAATCTCAACTCGTTCCACGTAAAATTTGGGCTTTGTCGGTATTGGGGTCTGGGTGTGGCACTCATTG